CATAGTGAGTTCAAGACTAGCTTGATTTATGGACACCCCAGAAAACCAAAATGAAATAAATTTTTAAAAAAGGATTGGAAACATTTATAATTCAGCAATCTGAAATGAATGAATGAGGCATTCATGTTCATAAACAAGAATGCCTGTTTCCTGGAAAGTAATTAATTTCAAGTTTGCTTTTTAATGAGGCCCTTCTTTAAAGTCAACTTAAAAAGCAATCAAGAACTCAGGAGTCACTGCATGAAGCACTCATCTTGCTTGGTGCTGGTCTTACTAATTATTAAAATAATGGTTTGTGAGCCGGCAAGATAACTCAGTGGATTAAGAGCCTGTTTAGGCAAGTGCAGGGACCAGGGTTCAATCCCTGGCACCACAGTCACAGGGCCCCTCCCCTGCGCTGAGCTGGCCACAGAGACTGGGAGTAGTGGTGCACGTCTATAAACCTAGCACAGGGGAGGCTGAGAAAGGAGGATCATGATGAATCCAAGCTGCATAGTGAGACCCTGTACCAAATACATTTAAAAAGGGGGGGGAATAACACTTTGCAAATCTACTGATGTTGTTTGGTGCTAGGGAGATGGCTCAGCAGCATAAGTGCCTGCGTGGCAAGGGTAAGGTCCTAAGTTCAATCCCCAGTACCACCAAAAAAAAACAAAAAACAGAATTGTTGTTTGGTGACCATGCTAGGTAGGTTTTTGTTGGTGGCTCAAACCCAGGACCTCACACGTAAAAGGTTCTACCACCGAGCTACAACCCCTGCCTCTGTAATGTCATAGGCTAATGGTCCTGATTCTGTCATCAGCTCAAGTAGCTTTCATGAAAAATTTAGGACAAGGAAAACTGTAGACATGTTTCCTAACAATAGAGAATGTAACACTAATCATACAGGAATACTGCAGACATGGTCTCCAGTGAGTCTCCCTCACCTTTCTGTGCAATATCCTTGTTCCTAATGTTTAAAAAGTCAAATCAACTGCGCAGACAAAAGTCAATAATGACTCCTAAGTAAAAGTTGGATGTATCATACATGCCAACTTTAATGACCCGAGGCCTGGTATGGTGGCACATGCCTGCAACCCGAGCACGCTGGAAGGCTGAGGCTGGAGGATGACCAAGTGTGAGCTCAGCCTGGGCAACTTAGCAAGACCCTGTGTGTCTGAAAATAAAAAAGGGTTGGGGATGTAGCTCAGTGCAAAGGGCAAGAGTTCAGTCCCCCATACTGTAAAACAGGACACGTGTTAATGACTTGGGATTCAGCAGTCTGAACGTTGATAGAGCCCTCTAGCACTAAGTTCTGGGCTGTGGGAATAATGACACTGCCTCGCACGAGTTATCCTCTATTAAAGTTTCCGATACTTGCATCCTACAAAACAGACCAACTGCAGGGCCAGGTGTGGTGGCAGAAAGATGAGTTTGAGGCCAACCTGGGCTGCAAACTAAATTCAAAACCACCCTGAACTACATAGCAAAACCCTGTCTCAAAAATAAAGAGTGGGGCTGGGGGGATACCTCAGTAGTCTAAGTGCCTGCCTGGCAAGCACAGGTACGAGCTTGGTCCCCAGTACCACATGCCACACTGGCCCCAGAACCCCAGGTACACTGTGCCGGCCACCAAAACCAGGCAGGGTGGTACACACCTGTGATCCCAGCACTGGGGAGGCTGAGACAGGAGGATCACTACGAGTCCGAGCTGCATAAGTGAGACCGTGTATCCAATAAAATAAAATGCAATAAGGTGAATGCCGTGAGGTGAGGTGAGGTAAAGTAAAATATTATTTTAAAAAAGAAATGAACAAAGATAAGGCCAGCTGATTTTTATGCCAAATTCTTGCTCACAGGATGAGGCAGGAATTCTAGCTTATGTATGAGCCTCATCCCCAATGCTGTTTCATTCACAGCAAGACTATAGTAGGTGACTGCTGAGGCACAGCACTTAGAGCCTATAAAAACTTACATGAAAATGTTGAAATACTGTTCTAGGATATTGTCCGACCTCATTATGTTAATAACCAGGAAGTTCATTAACCCTACCAATAGTGAGGTAACTAACTTCACTTTATCAACACTTCTGAGATTGAAGTTTGGGTTCCCTTAAAGAGACAAATTATTCAATAGATAAGAATGTTTTGCATTACTGAGGGTTGAACCCAGGGCTTTGACACTGAGCTACATCCCCAGCCATCTGGGGTTTGGGTGGGGCTGGGGTGACAGGGTCTTGCTATGTACCTTAGGCTCGCCTTTAACCCATGGCAACCTTCCTGCCTCAGCCTACAAGCTAGCATTACAGACCTATACCACCATACACAGCCCATAAGACAGGGTCTGGCCAAGTCACTACAAGTATCCAGGTTAGACTTCCCATTTTCATTTAATTTCATTTTTATTGATACAGGGTCTCACTATGCACTTGGATTCATAGTGATACTCCTGTCTCAGCCTCCCCAGTTCTGGGATCACAAGCGCGCCACACCATTTTGGGGCAGGCAAGGCATGTGGTACCAGGGATCCAACTCCGAACCTTGTGCTTGCCAGGCAAGTGATTATGCCACTGAGCTATCTCCCCAGCCCCAGAACTTCCGTTTTCCAATTCCCCTGCCTCAACCTTTCAGAGTGCTGGAATTGCAGGCTGCCTGCCACCATACCTGGGTTTTTTTTTAGCTTTTCAGTTGCTCTGAAAGACAATTTCACAATTGTGTTCCCCTGTAATGCTACCTCGTCCTTGAATTACAACACAATGACCTATTTCATACCGTTACTCCATTGGGGTCCACTTTATGCAACTGACACTAAATAAAAAACACAAGTATATTACTAATTACTAGTATGCTAAGACTATGTACTTTAAGACTGTACTTTTTTGTGTGTGGCTGGCTTAGCCCACCCTGGGGGTGGGGTTGGCGCAGTATGTGGTGCCCACATGCTGGGGGTTGAACCGTGGTCCCTGAGCTTGCCTAAGCAAGTGCTTTAGACCACTGAGCTATCTTGCTGGCCCCAAGACTATGTACTTTTAATAAGTGGACCTGGGAATTGTCACTCCTGGGACTCAAACTCAAGTTAAATATTGAATACACTGAGCTATATTCTTTGCCCAGCTTTTTATCTTTTTTGAGACAGGGGCTTGCTATGTCATTCAGGCTGACCTTGAACTTGTGATAAACTTTCTGCCCCAGCTGAGTGCTGGGTTATGGACGTGTATCACCACACCTGGCTCACAAAACTTGGGCATTTTTCTTGGATTTTGATCAACTGGTTTTGAAAGTTATCAGAAATGGCTTTGAAATGTATCCCTGCTTGAACACAGTATACTTCCTATCCATACTGAGAAAATGTGTTAACTGTTGACAACAAAACTGGACCCTCCAAGGCTAACCATGGAAATGCTTTAGCAAAGGGTAGTTGCACTGCATACCCTCAAGTTTTTAGGCCCATGGTCCCCTTTCACACCAGCACACCACCAGTTCCCACCCATTTGTTCTACGCTAATGGGCACTCCTAGCATGAGATGGAGGCTCCCTCCCTCACCCCTCCCCATTTAAAAATTTTTTTTTTATTTGTGTGTGTGTGGCCAGCTCACATGGTCCCTGTGCTTTGCTAAGCTTGTTCTAAGTAGGTGCTTTGACCACTGAGCCATCTCACCAGCCCCACCTCCCCATTTGGTTTCTATGACTTGTTACTGTTGTAACCAGGAACTTGGGAGTTTCCTAAACAATGAAGGGCAAGTCCTAAGACCCAGTGTCCGCTCCCTCCAAGAGCCCGGAAATTCCAACCAAGGCCAGCTACCTGGTCTACAGGACACAGACCTTGCGGACCAAGTCCCCAACAAGACAAAGGTACCTTTCTGACCCCAGTGAAAAGCTTAAGGCCATCATGAGGCCCACAATTGAGAGTACAGCATATACTGCCAATTCCTGATCCCTAAGATTGTACCCTCAGTGCACCGCCACGTACCACAGCCCCCACTTGGCTGGGCTCTCAAGACCCCCTACTCTTCCTTTTAACAATTTAGCTCATGTCTGCACTGTAACAGGTCCCCTCTATAACAGGTAAATTGAGAGGACACAGAACAAGGAACTAGATCCACTTGGCTTCTGAATTCACTTCAGACCTTACAATATGGCCTTGTAATGAGACCTTTCTTCTCCCCTGAAGCTCACCTGAGGCCTCCATCTCTTTACAGACTGTCAACCCTATCCAGATCTGATACCCAACTGCTCCAAGGTAAAATGTAACCAACCAAATTTGGAAAGCTGGGCTTTTGCATTCCCTAATCAAATAAGGAAAACTTTCAAGAATCAACCCAGGGGGGCTGGGGAGATAGCTCAGTAGAAAAAGCACTTCCCTGGCAAGCGCAAGGGTCTGAGTTCAATCTCCAGTTCTGCAAAAGAATAAATAAAATCAACCCAGGGCCAGGGAGATAGCTCAGTGGTCTAAGAGCCTGCTTGGCAAGCACAAGGACCTGGGTTTGATCCCTGGTACCACATGCTGTGCCAGCCCCACACCAAGCCAGCTACCAAAACCAGGCATGGTGGCCCATGCCTATAATCCCAGTGTTTGGGAGGCTGAGACAGGAGGATCACTACAATTCAGAGCTATGTAGTGAGACCCTGCACACCAAACAAACAATAAATTTTTTATAATTAAAAAAAAAAAATCACCCCAATTTGAGTTAATTTCTTTTGCAAGTAAGGGTAACTCAACAAGGAAAATTGTACACAATATAAAAATGTGATGAGATTAGCTATAACTATAAGTAACCATTCATGTTTAACAAGTTTTTGAAAGTTTGTTTTCTAAAAAATACAGGGACTGGAGTAATGACACTTCAGTCACACACTGTAACAACTGATAAATAGGAATTGAAATAATTAATGATTAGTTTGCTATTAGGTCTTAATGTCCATTTGTTTTCCACTAGAGTTAAATTTTTTTAAAAAGTTTTTTTTTTCAATAACACAATTAATTTTAAAAAGTATTTTTTAAAAATTATAACCTCACAGACAAATCATGAACAGATGGGTTTATTTCAGCAGTGTTTGAACTCTTGCCTTAAGCAAGGGTACTACAATAATTTTATCAGGAATAGACAATTTCCTACACTGTCATAGATATAAAAGTTCCTTTTGTACTTTTGTTCAATCAACACTGATCAACAAGCAGATTCAGTCCACAGTTGCTGTGCTCTACTGGGTTAACCCAAGCTTCTTCTTCAGGGACTCCGGCATCTCAGGTGGAGGAGGGCGAGGGAGCCTGAAGTAGACTTTCACAGAGTCATAGATGAACCACTGTAGTGCAGTCAGAGTACCGATCATGATGATACGGGCAAAGAGTCCCTTCCACACGCCTGGTTCAAAGAAGGAAAGACGGATGAGAAACATGTAATATACCCAAGTGTTCTGACCCAAGCAGGAGAGAACCCATCTCACCTTTAAAGCCAAGTCTCTGGAGGACCTGAGAAGCACTACTACCTTTTTCTTTATTTAGCACAGATACCACAGAATCGGCAGGGTGAGAAACAATTGCACAGAAGACCCCAGCTGAAAAGACAAATGATTCAATACAGGATCAGTCAAAAACTAAACTTATACCGCTTTTTTTGCAGGAGGTACCGGAAATTGAACTGGTATTTAGAACACACTTATTTGCAATTCTGGATGAATTGAACAAGCTGTAACCAAAACCCATTTCTCATGACTTTCTTTTCTTTTCTTTTTTTTTTTTTTTTGGGGGGGGGTGAAACCGGGGATTGAACTCAGGCCCTTGCACTTGCCAGGGAAGCGCTTATTCCACTGAGCCATCTCCCTGGCCCCCTCATGACTTTCCATAAACTTTTTTTAAAAGTCAGATTTCAGCTGGGCTTGGTGGCAACACACCTACAGATCCATTTAAATGGGAAGCTGAAGCAGCAGGACTGAATGAACTCAGGAACTTAATAACTTCACAATGGGACCCATGTGTATACATCTCACCACCGGGTAGCTCTGAAGCACCAGTGGTATAGCCATCACTGTCCCATCAGGCTGCAGAGGACAACCATACATGTACTACTTAGTGGTTTAGGCTGGCAAGAATATGTCAAGGCTATCCTAGGCAACAGAAAGTCTCTATCTCAAATGAAAGTTTTAGTATTCAGACTTCAGTTAATACTTCCTCTTGTATTAAAAATGTTTTAATTTGTTCTTGAGATATTAAAAAAAAAAAAAAAAAAGCGTAAGAGGAATACATGTGCATGCCCAAAAAAGATATATCATAAAGACTACATAAGCTGTTCATGGTAGTGAACAGACTCTGAGACACTGAGATCAAGCCCAGCCTGGGCAATTCAGCAAGATCTTGTCTTACTATAAAAAGGGAGGCCCTAGTACTGGAAAAAAGAGAATCACATAAACCATAAAATTTCTCCTAGGAACTAATTAGAAAGTATTTATAAATCCAAAAAGCTCTCCGGGTGCACCAGGGCCACAAGGAATCAATCATGGGAAGATTGGGCATAAACCACGTTGTTAATAAACAACACACAGACCTTTAAAAAAAAAAAAGGCCACATATGTTATGGGACAATAAAACTGCTTTATAACCTTTGGACAAAACTTTCTCTCACAAGAGGCCAACAACAGAAATGAGTATTCATCCAGAATTTCAAATAAGTGTGTTCTAAATAATTCATACCAGCCGGGCATAGTGGCACATGTCTATAATCGCAGCACTCAGGAGGAGTGCCATGAGTTTGAGGCCAGCCTGATGTTCTGCATAGCAAAACCCTGTCTCAAAATGACTAAGTAATTCATACCTATGTAGCCTGCCACAAATGTTACAACCAGCTGCTCCGCCTTCGTACATTCACTTCGGGGCTTAGGAACCACAAACTTGTACAATGCTTCAACCGTACGTTCAAAGCAGGCAAACTTCATCATGGTGTAAGGTATCTGTCTCATCCAGAGAGGGGCAACTCCCTTGTAGAATCTAAAATAAGGAGGCTTGTTTACAGTTTCAAGTATTGATTTAGCTGAGATTTTCATCATTAACAGAAGTGTCCGCACACCAGTCGAATCCTGATAGTAAAAAGTGACTGCATAACTGCGTGTCACTTCTATCAGAACTTTAGACTACCATGCAGGTATACTGCTCTCACATGCCAATGACTCAAGCACCTTCGACTGTACAACCAAAAAAGTTGCTGGATGTTTCTTTGACTGGAACTACAAGAAACAAGATGTTTACAAGCAGAACTCAGTTCAAGATTCATCCACAAAGGTGGATCTAAGGAAGCATGTTGGGGCCTGACTACAAATCTGTAACTGTGAACAGATCGCAAGATTTCTAACAAGCCCTCCCCAAAAGTCCAGTAGTACACAGTATCACAAAAACACCTTTGCCAATAGTTTAAATTCTACACACCAGTAGACAGGTTTTACAGGAGGGCCTACTACTAACAGATGTTGCTGCCCATAAATGATTACTTTAGGACAATGGTTTACTTACGCTTTTAGGCCTTCTTCCTTAAACATTTTGGGAGCAGCATCCCTCAAAGTGTTAGCATAACCTGGTTGAGTTTGAATTCGAACTTTAGCAGCTTCCATAGGAGCCAGGGCAATGTCAGCAAAGAACTCAGCACTGGCAGAGGCAGCCAAGTATAGTGACGTACGCCACAGATAGGCATTCTCCTACAAAACACAAGAAGGCTGTTGTACCAGCTGTTTTCAACTGAAACAGCACTTTTGGAAAACAACACTTAAAAGACATTTTAAAAGTATTTCAGGGACTGGGGAGATGGCTCAGTAGAATAAGAGCTTCCCTGGCAAGCGCAATGGCCCTGAGTTCAATCCTCGTTCCACAAAAAAAAAAAGTATTTCGTATTACACCCATGGACAGACATTTTATGAAACACACTTCCTTGGACTGTGGTGTAGCTCAGTGTAAAGAGTGCTTGCCCAGCACGAGCAAGGCCAAGGGCTCCATCCCATGAAAGGAAAAGCGAACAAAGGCGGAGTGCGGGCAATGAACTTTCTCATCTGTCTCTGCTATCTAGCCTGCTGATCAGAAACATGCTGCTCACGCTGAGACCACTTTCTTCAGGCATAAAACAGGGTGAATCAAAGACCTAATGTCCTTTTTGGTCTTACACTTTCCATCTCAAAGTTAAATCACATACCTCACCAAGCATGTTGCTATACAAGACTTTGAAGACTTCATAAAAGCCAAACTTGCAGAGCCCTTGCATAGAGTAGCCAATGAAAGTTGGAGCCCATCCTTTTGCCAAACCACGAACGCCATCCTCTTTAAGTGTGACTGAGAATCCATTAAATATGCCCTTGTACTTTTGGGGATCCACCTTTAATGAAAAGAAAGAAAAAAAATCACAGATCTAAAAGCTTTCAATAAAATACCCCTCTTAAAAAAGGTAAATACAAGTTCCTGACATAAAATCATTTTTATAAATGGAAACTTTTTATATACTAAGCCATCCTTAACTTCTTAGAGATGGTTAAGGGTCTAACCAAACAAAAATACAAAAATAAATCAAACACTCTTACAAGATTTCTCACCACCTAACTCCCACCACAATTGAAATACTAGTTGTAAGGCTACTTTAAGTAACAGGTAAGTCTGTATTCCTGTTATAAACTAGCCCATTAAGTAGATTTTTGTGACCAATGACAGTCTTAATACAATTTTATTTTATTTTTTAAAATACTATCTTAAAACATAACAGCAGGGCTGGGGAGATGGTTCAATAGAATAAGCGCTTGCCTGGCTAGCACAAGGGCCCAAGTTCAATCCCTGGTTCCGCAAAAAAAAAAAAAAAAAAAAAACAGCAACACAACAAGAAATCTGTCTTTCAGCTCAGTTCAGTGATAGTGCCTGCCTATAATTCCAAGCATTGGAAGTCCAAGGTTAGCAAGACCTTGTCTAAAAAAATAAACGCTAGAGATGTAGGTCAGTGTGAAGGTCAAGTTCACCACCCTGTACCACCACAAAACAAATGAGTAATCTGGTCTTTTGACTTAAATTCACTTTCAAGAGACATGCAAACGCTAGCAATGGTACATTTCCTTTTAATTTTAATTAATGGGACAAGGGGTTATCTCACTATCTCTGCCAGTACTAAAAGGACTGGTACACAATACCTTTCTCTCCCTCCTTCCTAATACTTCACCTTTCTATCTCTTAGGTAAGAAGACTTCTAATCCTGTTTGGAAAAGTAATTTTTGATATTTTTGTTTCAGTAATTCTAATTAAAAATATTCAAATCATAAGGTAATTCTTATTAAATATATAAAGGGTATGCCCACAAATTTTTCATACTAAGAATTTTTTTTGAGACAGTCACACCCTGCAGTTCAGCTGGCCTCAAACTGATCCTCCTGCCTCAGCCTCCCAAATGCTGAAATTCCAGGCATGCACCACCATATCCATCTCATACTAGGATATTAAACGCATTTTAAGGGCCAGCCGTACAGCTCAGCAGATTAAAGCGCCTGTAAGCAGGCACAGGGGCCAGGGATTCGATCAGTGGGCCTGCCTGCCTTGCCAGCCCCACCCCCAGGGTACACTGAGATGGAATTGAGACTGGGCACAGTGGCACATGCCTGTGGCCCCAGCATTTGGGAGGCTGTAAACAGGTGGATCACTACGAGTCTGATCTAGTAGTAAGACCCTGAAACACCCTGTAGACCCTTGCCTAGAAAAAGAGCATTTTAAAGTCATCTATATGTGCTGTTTATTTGGTCTTATCAATATGTAGGAACATGAAGTTGCTTCACATAATACACAAGCTGATTCCCCAGTCCTGACATGTTAAATGTTTATAAAATGACTATTTGGAGCACAAAGAACTAGTAGTAGCTCACACAGAGGAACTTTAGCCAGAACTGAATACGAAGAGCCATCAATTTACAGCCAGAACCTGAAAGCAAATAATTTACCTATACTTTCACAAATGAGAGATTTCCAAGGCTTAATACATCCAGTGACATCATCTCAATACAAACCTGCATTCGGCATTTCACTAAATCCAAGGGAACGACAGCAGTATGAGTCAGCCCACAACTTAAGACCCCACCAAAGCCACACAGTGCATAAAACTTCATGGAGCCATATTCACAACTGTACTCTGTAATAAGACAAGACACACCATGCATTTTAATAGAAAACTCATGTTACTGGTTATCAACTTACCTCCTGGACAGTTAGGTTTCCACACAGCTTGTTAGTAGTTGTCTACATCTTACAACTTAAGAGCCATGCTTCAACAATATGCTTTAGTCCAGCATGCAAAACAAACCTGCATTCTGCATTTAACCAGATCTAGAGGAACCACTGCTGTATGGGTGGTGCCACAGCTAATAATTCCTCCAAGTCCACAAAGGATAAAGAATCTGCCAGATCCATAGGCACAGCTATACTGCTCTGTTTGATTGGAAAAAAAGATCAAGTAAGTACTTCTTCAGAGATGACAAATGCCGTGAGAATGGGAATGAAAGAAAAGTATGCTTGTTTCCCTATGAAAGAGGACCATCTGGGGCCGGGGAAATGGCTCAGTGGAATAAGCGCTTCCCTGGCAAGCGCAAGGCCTGGGTTCAATCCCCGGTTCTGCCAAAGAGAAAAAAAAGAGGGCCATTATAGCGACAGGGCTCTGGCTACTAGTAAGTGGTAAGGTCATTTCCAAACAAGTTTTGATTACAAAAAATGCAATCAAAATCTGACCATTTGGAACTGAGTTTTATATCTGAGATACTGTCTCATTTTACTATATTGATATTAAAAATTTTTTCCAAATAAAATCAGTAATAGGTGATAAAAGCACGAATCAAAGTAAGAGCATCTAAAAAACTTGGCAACTTCTAACTTTACTTCACCTAGTAACCAAATACATTACTTTCGAAGTAGTGCAAAACTACAAATGCAGGAATTCCTGAAGTGAAATATACTCAATACATAAATAATGTCAGCCTTCACTTTTAAATTGAAACAAAATAATGGTATAACGACTAATACAAAAGACATCATAAACACAAACAAGAATGACTGGAAAAACTTTCCATTTTGCAGATTCAGTGTACTTAATATCCTCGAGAACCTTACAATTCGGCTTTTCAGATTTCTCTGTATCTACCTCCACTGAGATTTAAAGCACACAGGTTAAGTCAGAACTCAGCCAACCTCCTCAAATCCCGAGACTAAGCCCAAAGGGATCCACCAACTCTTCCCTGGAATCTGGCTGGGGTTACCAGGCGCCGCCTCCAGCACGATCCTCAAGCTGGGAAGCCTCACTCTCACACACGACTGGGGGCGAACAAGTCACCTTCCCATTACTACCGGACGCACGAGGGTCGGAAGGCTTTACCCGACAGCCTGCGGACCGAGCGGGCTCGCCGCACGATCAGACCGACCCACGCCGTCCGCTGCTCCCCGGGGACGCGGAGGTCACGCGGGCCGCCGGCCCGGCCTTCCCACGCCTCGGCGGGAGGGGCAGCACCCGCGCCGACCGACGGGGGAAAGGCCGACGCGCGGGCGGCGGGCGCCCCGTCCTCCTCCCTGCCCTCCAGGCCTGGCCGGGACCCCACTGCCCCGGGCCCGACCTCACCTTCCGTGGCGGCGGCGGCAGCCAACTTGCGGGGTCGGCGCGGGACGCCCGGGGGCCCGGCGGGGCTGCTGCTCGGGCCCGCGAGGCCATCGTGCACCAGCTGCAGGTGCGGCGCGTTGAAGGGGTTCGCCCGCGCCAGGTGCGCCACGGACGAGAACATCTTCCTAGGGGAAGGGGAGCGGCTGTTAGGGGAAAGGCCGGTGCCCCTCAATGTCACGGGCGCCCTGGGGCCGCAGGAGGGGCCTTCTCCTTGCCCTCCGCGCCCTTGAGGTCACCGCGGCTCCCTAGAAAAGGCCGCGCCCGGCCGGGCCTACAGCCAAGCAGCGGTCCCTTAGGGGCTCCAGGCTCTGCTCCCTGCACCCACAGCGGGCAGGCCGGGTCACACTCACTCACTAAGATGGCGAACACCGAACCGCTCCTTCTCACAGGCTGCGGCTCACAGAGGCCGAACGTCCTCCGGGCCCTCAGATCTGTGCCCTTCGCCCGTCGTCAGCGTGACGCACGCAATACGTCATCACGGCGTGCGCCTCCTATTGGTGAAGAGGAGCACGGAAGCCTGGCGTCATCGCGCTCTCCTAGCAACCCTATTCCCGCCTCCGCGCGCCACTACCCTTCCGGCCCAGCTAGTGCGCAGGAGGATTCGCTCTGCGCAGACGCGCATTCCGGGCCTGGAAGCTGAATGCTGTCCACCAAGGGCTAGTGACCTAGTCTTTTTGTCCTGTCACCTTCAAGTGTCTTCCTTGATTGCAGGGTCTAAGCTGTTCACATTTAAATGATTCACACTGTCTAATAATCACTCTTAAGAAAACACGAATGCATGCAGCGAGGACATCACTGCAGTTTTGTAACCCAATTTATGCGATTATAACTTTTTTTTTTTTCCCCAGAACCAGGGATTGAACTCAGGCCCTTGTGCTTGCCAGGCAGGCTTTTATTCTACTGAGCTATCTCCCCAGCCCCTAACAATTTTTAAAGTGTCATCCACAGACATTGAACATAGACATGTCTACATTTTTCACTAGACTTAAGAAAAATAAGAGGAAGTGTGCAACGGGAACTTAAGACAACTTCAAAATAGTCAACAGCGTACTAAACAAGTGCTTAACCCCGGGGACACAGGAATGCACTACAGAGGAACTGACACCAGATCAAACCTGCTGGGGGGGGGGGCGCTGCTGGTGTACACACGCGCGGGCCTAAATCTGAATAATTATATTCATTTCAACAGAGAGGGGTCTAGCTTAGTTGGGAGAATTTAGTAGGGGTCAGACCTGTGTAAACTAAGGAGCCATATCTATAGCAATGAGTCTGCAAGCGGTTCTGGCTAAAACCTCTTGATTGTGGAGCGATGGGATGGCGCGCCAGAGCCAAACTTATTTTGGGCTATCTTAGTCTCCTTTAATAGCTGTTCACTACCTTCCTCTGTGTCTAACCTGATGTCCTTGTGGGTACTGGGTAAAACTCCGGGGTGTACACTGAGCTTCACAGACCTGTAGCCTTCACCAGCCCCCAAGCTAAGAATGCTGTAACACCTGAAACCTTCAAGGAGCTTGCCACATTTGGTGTGGCTCACCTGCTCTCACGCCTCCCCGGGTGATGAGTAAAGGGATGGACTTAGGACTTCTTTTGTGCTTTGACTGTAATAGTTTCCCAGTGGAACATATCATTCATGGTAATTTAAATCCATGTCCTCAGGCCGTGGTTGTTCATATTTGGTTGCAAAGAAACTATTATTTCTGGAGCTGGAGAGATGGCTTAGTAGAATAAGCGCTTCATTGGCAAGGGCAAGGGCCTGAGTTCAATCCTGGTTCTTCAAAAGAAAGAAAAAAGAAACTATTTCCTTTAAAATAGAATCATTACTTTACATCAACACCTGTTAGCATTTTTGCTCTTACTGTTTTCCCAAATCTTGATAAAGTTACTGGGAAGTGTATTTCCTCTTTCTGTCTCTGTCTCTCTCTCTATGTCCATCTATCTCTATCTCTATCTCTATCTCTATCTCTATCTCTATCTCTATATCTCTCTCTTTCTCTTTGCAAAGGGGAATTGAGCCCGGAGCCTTCACCCTCAGCTCCATAACGAGCCTTGTTTTATTTTGTATTTTTTTTTTAAATTTTTTTGGCAGAACCAGGGATTGAACTCAGACCCTTGCGCTTGCCAGCGAAGTACTTATTCCACTGAGCTATCTCCCCGGCCCCTGTTTTATTTTTTACTGTGAGACAGGGTCTCACTAAATTGCCCAGGCTGGCCTCAAATTTGCAATCCTTCTGCTTCTGCCACCTGGAGTGCTAGAAATTACAGGGGCGCACCCCACACCAGCTGGAACCTGTTTCTTAAATGTAAGATGGTGACAGAGATGGCCTCATGGGCTTACTACCTCCACAGTTACTTAGTGTCTGACACTTGGTTTATTATCCCCTGACATTTTTAAGTTCCTAATACATTTACAAATAAGGGACTCCAGAGTTTTCATTTTGTAAATGCGCTCTGAGTAAAACCTTGCAGAGTTTCTGAGAGCTCAGTGAAATAAGGTACAATAGTCTACAAAACGTGCTGTCTAGAAACTTTGCTGGGGTGTGGGGATGTAACTCCGTGGGTTGCAAGGCCATGAGTTCAATTCCCATCACAGGAAAAAAATAACATAATATGGAAAAGATTTTAAAGTCTGCCTTTTAGACTACTTCAAAAATGGAGACTCACCGAAAATCATAGCTGGGGTACACACAGGTCTTTTAAGTAAGGCCCAATAAAACACAAGTTTGTGAGAATGAAGATAATCTACTTCAGGTGGCATATGTTCGGGACTGAACTCCGGCCCTTGCGCTTGCCAGGGAAGTGCTTATTCCACTGAGCCATCTCCCCGGCCCTCAGGCTTGGTTTGTGTTTGCAATCCACTAGGCTCTGGAGGAATCTGGAAAGAGCACATGGGGAACGTTTTCAACCAGGCTTCCCACCAAGTAGCTCCATGGCCTCACGCACGTGGGTGGTGGTAGCCTGTCCTCAGTCCGAATAGCTGGGTGTGATTTGGACACTCAGAAGTGTTTGTGTGACAAGGGCAGTAGTGCGGAGAGGACGGTATTAAATTGTAAGCACATTTGCCCAGTGGCGGAGAAAAGCTCTGAGGCCATAGCATTGGCGGGTTCTTCTAGCAACCCCATCCTGCCGCGTTTGACCCCATCCTGCCCGTGCTTCCAGCTTAGCAAAAGGCCCTGGAAAAATTGAAGAATAGAGAGTGCAGGAAGGGAAGGTGAAAAAGTCCTTGACTGCCCAGGGCGCCGCTCACCAGGCCAAGGAACTGGATCTAACAGAGACAGAGGAGGCCTCAGAGGATTTCTACTGAAGTGATTCCCACATATGGCAACTACTTTGCTCTTATCCCCCTCCTAGCACCAGATAGTATAGTTTGCTGCCAATTTTTCTGCCTAGAGCAACTGGTCCCCTTCACAATGGTGCTACAGGTGTGCCCAGCCCAGGACACAGAGAAGGTGAGAGAGACCCAAGGGTAGCTGAAGGAGCTGTGGGGCCCACACCTACCCTGGCTTAGCAAGGTCACCTTCAGAGTGTGAAGGCTTTCGGTTTCCCTTCTGCTTTCCCAGTGCTGTATACATTTCGCTTGTAAATAACTCCAGTGCAAAACCAAACAGGGAAAGGAATTCTGGGAAATTTAGCTCAGCTAAATTGGTACAATAAAAAAGCAGCACAGTCTGTTCCTTGTTAATGTGGCACTGAGGCATACCTCTGTAAATTAAACTTCTGAATGAAGACAAAATAGCACAATTAGGGCTCCATGATGCAGCTATCCCTGGTACAATTGTAAGCATGCAAATCCTCTCCCCAGACTGATTAGAAAATTTTTTTACCCATCTTTGAGTGATGTTTATTCTAACACCTTTTATAGCCCATAACATAAATACCTAGTTATAAAATTAAACATGAGTAGCATGTCCTTTGTTCAATCCTAAAAGAATATAAGGGGTAAGACGAGGAAAGATTTTATGATTATGTGCACAAATATAGTCAGTCCAAACAAACACTGGGTGGCTGGGGAGATAGCTCAGTAGAATAAGTGTTTGCCTGGCAAGTGCAGGGTCCTGAGTTCAATCCCCAATACTGGAAAGAAAAAAAAAAGTATGATTCTCAAATAAACACTGGGTCACTTTCTTAGGTGTGGGAGGAGCTAGATACAGTCACTTGACCTTCTTGAAAGGGATAAATCAACATGCCACACACCACTGGATTAGTCATGGAGGCTCTGGCTGGGGTTACAGGTGGGCAGCACCACACCTGGCGCCTGCCTCTTTACTCTGCCTCTTTAAAGTACTTTACAGCAGATTCATCTCTGCAAAACCTCACCAGGAATGTGCTACTGGGTTGGTTTAATATTTTGGGGGATAAATATGTCACCATCTAGCATAAGTCTTTAACTACATGTAAAATGGAAATCCAACAGGCACTAGTTCTAAAGTGAAAATAAAGTTTATTATAGGAAAGAAACACAGCTCACTGTCCTCTAGATGGTCCAGCCGTAGGAAACAGCAATGCGGGCTACTCCACAGAGCAGAACCTAAGTGGATAATTGCAATTTTATGGGTTCTCATATCCTTCCCTTTCAGGAAGGGCCAGGGGTCTACGGGCAGGGTGGAGCCCAGTCCCCAGACGTGCTGTAGGTGTGTGTAATCCTCTCTCTGGGTGGAGATCGCACTGTGGGACTGCATTGCATGAAGATGTAATGAAGCGGAGCAGCTATCCTGCAGATCCACCGCCACGGCTGCTTGTGCAGGCCCATCCATTTGCCCAAACATCTCCCCTTCTTCTTTCAAGGAGTGCGGAGGCCTCCTTGCTTAGTTAGTGGTGCGATTTCCTCTCTGTCTTATCCTCTGGAGTTGCTGCAACTGTCTGCTGCTCTTCTCCCAGCTGCTACATGAAAGTCCTGCCCATCTCTCCTGTCCTAAAAGCAGCACTAGCGACTTCTTGCCCTTCTGTACCATAACAGCCTTCATTCCACACCCCGGGGCCAGCACCGGGCCTCTGCCAGTTAGCAAGGGCATTTGTCCCAATGGAGCGTTACCATGCCAGGGAAGTACCCCGAGGCGAGCTTGGGAACCTGCTGCACCTGCAACGTGAAAGATTTCAGCCACGCCCTGTTGACTGCCTGACCTCTGTAAGTCTCTTTAGATGGGGCGAACAATAGCCCTCTGAGTCTGTAGGAATTAATATCAATTCAGAGCCAGCATTCAATAATGTTTTAAAAGGCCTGGACAAATCGCTCAGCAGATTAAAGCACCTGCAAGGAGGTGCAGGGGTCAGGGGTTGGATCCCTGGACTGCCATGCTGGCCCCGCCCCTGGGGCACCCTGAGACAGCAATTGAGACTGGGCGTGGTGGCGTGTGCCTATAATCCCAGCTCTTGAGAGGCTGTAATCAGGCGGGTCACTACAAATACAATCTAGTAGTGAGACCCTGAACGTCCCATAAACCCTTACCTAAAATACAATAATAA